CAGGCTTGCTGTGTGTTCACATGTTTGTAGGGGTCTTTCAGCCACGGGACATATCAACCCTCTGTCTTGCTGAAGGCCAGTGTTTCTTCCTTGAAAAATCACAGAATCAGCTGGGTTGGAAAAGACCTCCAAGATCATCAAGTCCAACCCTTGATCCAACCCCGCTGTGGTTCCCAGCCCATGGCACTGATGCCACATCCAGTCTCATCTTAAACATGTCCAGAGATGGAGAATCGACTCCCTCCCTGGGCAGCCCATTCCAATGTCTGATCAGTCCCTCTGGAAAAAATTTTTTTCTAATGTCTAACCTAAGCCTCCCCTGGCAGAGTTTAAGACATGCCCTCTTGTCTTACTTCTGGTTCCTGGGAAAAGAGACCAACCCCCAGCTGTCTCCCCCCTCCTGTCAGGGAGTTGCAGGGAGTGAGGAGGTCTCCCCTGAGCCTCCTCTTCTCCAGGCTGAACAGCCCCAGCTCCCTCAGCCTCTCCTCACAGCACTTGTGCTCCAGTCCCTTCCCCAGCCTCGTTGCTCTCCTCTGGACCTGCTCCAGCCCCTCCATGTCCTTCCTGAGCTGAGGGGCCAGAACTGGACACAGCACTCCAGGGGTGGCCTCACCAGTGCTGAGTACAGGGGCAGAATCACCTCCCTGCTCCTGTTGGCCACCCTGTTCCTGATCCAGGCCAGGATCCGTTGGCCTTCTTGGCCACCTGGGCAAACTGCTGGCTCAAAGGCATCGTTTTCAACCAGATCAACAAACTTACCTGACTTGTGAAGCAATTCCTAATTTTGATATGAAAGAGATCATGTACCTGGGAGCAAGGCATAGTCACCCTTCTCAGTGGCAACTCTATCACAGAGCAGTTTTGACTCAGCAATGATGCTATGCTAAGAAAGTGTCTTGAACACGTCCTGCTCCACCAGAACCACCAGGGTTTGTCTTCACTGTTCCCTCATGTAACTTCCATCAGCGTTACACGTTTGTCAAAAGGTAGCTTCACCAAACGCAGCCTGACAGTGTCAGCACCTGCTAAGCCAACTTCAAACACAGCCACCACACTTACCTGAGAAACCTGCATGTAGCAGCAGGAACCCTTTGGGTCTATCCTTGCACCCCTACAAGGGCACTGGCCCTACACAGCTCAGGTAAGGTCTAGCTTGTGCTGTGGAGCAAGAAACCCACAGAGACACAGTTCAGACCCTGAGCTGAGCTCCACACTCACAGGGGCAGCTACAGAGTGTCAGAGCCTCTGATCTAAGTCTCACCTGATGGCTCAAGACATCCAAGAATTACATATACATAAATATGCAAGAACACACAGAGTATGTACCATAATCTAAGCATTTTATTAATAACATAATCATAATTTTCAGAGCTTATTTTAGGACAAGTTGAAGTCAAAGAGGCTGTGTTTTTTCCTTTTATTTATGTTGCAGAAGCATACAGCATCAAACAGTACACACAACAACTATTAAGTTGATGTATAAACTTATAGCCATTTTTTTTTATATAATCTTTGCTACCCTGTTGTGGGCACCAGCAAATGCTCCCCAGCTCTGTCATGGATAGTGCATGTCTGCCACATGATTGTTGCTCAGAAAGTATTTTCGATGTGAAATATTTGTTTTGTAGTACCACAGTGATGCTGTATGTAATTCACCCGGG